TGCGAAAATAGAGGGAGTCAAGCAGAGCTAGTGTTCCCGCTCAACCTAATATAAGCGTATGAAGCGATTATAAGAGGAGAAAGAATATAGGATAAACATAGGAATAACGGAACAGATCAAAATAAAGTGGAAGGTGACTAAAAGATTGGAGGGGAAAGGACTCGGAGGCGATCTTGTCTGAAGAAGAAACTGCGAAGCCTCAATTCTGAAACTCTTGTGAGCAGGCCATATTACTGTATCGTAAGAAGAACAGACGACAGATGGACACCAAGAACATCTAAGTGGATTCCTCACGAAGCCAGATGCCCAACGTCCTTGATGAGGACCATCAACGAGATCAGCACACGTGTTCATAGAGCGCATGGATTGGCTGACAAATCAGTCGAATTCAAGCACGTCACGCACTTAGACTCGTGCAAGCAGCGTCCACGGTAACCAAAAAGATCGTCTATGTCTGAAGCGAGGTACAGGTAACATTGGATTTCTGTGTTGGAGCCCCGCAGGCCACGTGAAGACGAACCATTCACTTATCTGATTGACCAACACCTTTTGAGTCGTTGAATTTCTCACCTGGCTGGGATATATCCGGTTTTGCCAAATCCCTGCCGACGCACAATTTCAAAAAATCACATATATCGCATTTATCGTAATCTTATACTGCAATTCTTTATCTCCGTGTACTTCTGGGCCGTTCTTATACCCCCAACAAACACACAGCATTTTTATGAAATCCCAGTTGAAACATATTTCCTTTACTTTGCTTTCGTGCTTACCCGTAAGACTTCCCAGCATCACACTTCATAGTTCAGCAAAAGTCTACAAAGTAAAAACAATCAGTAATTTTGAAAACATAGTGTTCATGACCAAAATGCTTACGCTTTGCACCATTCCTAGCATTCTAATCGAGAAATTTATAACATGAAAAAATTTTAAAAAGGAAAGAAGAAGAAAGTTTATTTTCGACATCTCCCTAATCCGAAGTGCATCCTTGCAAGGTTAGATCTAGTAATTCAAACGTAGAGACAAGTAGACAGAAATTTGCGTTTTCAACTTCGTATAAAAAAATGATGTTACAGAATTTTTTTGGGGACACGTTTTTCGACGCTGAAGGAAAATGTAAAGATGCTGGAGGACATTTGACTTCTATTCATAGCCCTGAAGAGAATTTGTTTGTAGCTGGTAAATCTATTTAGTTTGATTCGTCGGAGCATTATTTTTATATTCAGGACTGGCAAAATCTGGGTATTCGATCACGGATTACCCAAAGGGTACATGGATAGGTCTGGCACGAGCCGATTATCTGAACAGTAACTGGACAGCTGAATGGATATGGACCGATGGCACAAAGGTTGACTTTCTGGCATGGGCTCCGAATAGGCCGTCTAAAAGTGCGGACAAAGAACGCTGTGTGCTGGTATGACTTTCACATTAACAAAAAAATTCAACGGCTATAATGAAGTTTGCTTTTCTGAAAAGAAAAAACAAAGGGGAACTTATGACTTACGCTGCTTCATAGCCCAGTGGGTGTGACTTGCAGCAACCTTATTTTGAGAGAACTTTGCGTAAACAGTGCGGACAATTCAGCTTTCAAACTGGTGATACCATTGAAAAGTAACCTTCTTTCTGATGCCACTGGGTTGTAAACTGCAAATCTAGTGTGGGCTTTTTGGGAGAGAATTTAAGCTCTGTACTGACGAGATTCTTAGAGATGTCAAAGCCCGTCTAGCTTACATAAAATGGCAGTCTTTTAAAGTTTTGAATTCACAATTATTTTCTGCTGCCTATTTCTCATTGGGCAAAGAGAATCATTTAACAAATGGTCTGAATGAAACCTGCACACCTTAACCTTACAACATCACGCCCGCCGTCTACAAGCTATCAAGCTTGTCTCTGACCGCAATTGTCGATTTTGTAAGATTCGCCACACCCGGATATGATGAGCTCAGAGGATGTGCGAAACATTAATAAACAATATGCGCAATCAGGAATAGTTTTCGAAGATTTACTTGCATGGAAACGAGGAATTTTTAGGGTGTAAGAATGGCAGTTTTTTTAACTTACTAACAAACTTGTCCCGAATGTTACTTGTCCTTACAGCATGGCAAGCTAACCATTTTTAGCTCCTGAGTATTTCTGTAATACTAACGGATGTGAAACTAGATCTTATTATGAAACAATTCTGCAAAAATAAGCCGAATTTCAAACCGTTTTGAAGTTTTTTTCAGCTCCGCATTCTGATGATCATGAATCAAGAGCTACAAAGTCAAATTTGTCGTGTGAACTTTCGCAGCAAATCTTACATGACTGAAAAATGATCATTGCCCTCTTTTTTTACACCTCAACAAGAAAGTTGATTATCTCCACAATGCCCAAAAGTAGACTTTCATAAATATAGGGCTTATCAAATGCAGTGTCGGGCGCACCTGCATCTCCACTCCCGCGCGGGACTCTGCACCTCTTTCGCCAACATGCTCTCTAATCATG